GCACAGCATTTCCCTTAATCAACTATTCACCAGTATTTATGAACACTAAAGCTTAAATAAATAAATAGCTGCCAATGTCGTTGAGGTGGCAGAGACTTCAAGCAAGTATCAAACCCAACATCATAAGCTTTGCGGAACATTAACCTTCACTTTTACCTTTAACATGGCAACTGTGCTCAGCTAGTCACATCTGCAAAACATTACGTTAATGTCTATCATTTTATTTTTTGAAATCAAGTTGTCATTTTTTACACAATTCTCAAAAGTGACTTTTTTCTTCAAAATTTGCTGCTTGTAATCTCGAAACTAAAATAAGATTCTGAACTTTGCAATGGCTTTTTGAGATTTGGAGAAACACAATTTAAGACATTATTATTCTGAGGTGGCAGCTCAACCCGCCTCCATCTGATTTGCTCTGTAATAGTTCCACTGACCAATTCCATTAAGGAGATTCATTGTCCAATACTGTCTTCAATGCAGTGTAACAATTCTGGTGTGAAGGTGGTGGGTGAAGTGAAGGGGGGAACAGAGTGAGAGAGAAACAGTTAAATACTGTCTTGATCACCCAGGGAATTGTTTGATCCCCATGGAATGATCATCAATCACTTAACTAAGCAGTAATGATGAATAGTGCCTTGCCGACGATTTGCCAGACCTCTGAACAGTGCCGGGTTCTTTGGAACAATGTTGCCCTGTCAGTTTCATGAAATGAATATTTCAGCTGGAGTGTGTGTGTGTGTGTGTGTGGGGTGGGGGAGAGTCTTCAGGGATTAAATGTTTTTTTACACGGTTATTTGTTAGTGCTAGATCCACTGTGAGAAAAGGTGAAGGTTTTGATTAAATGCTCCGGAACAGATTTAACCCTTCCACGTCCTGGACCGTATGGAAAAAGGTAACGAAACGCCTCCGGGGTGACATTTAACTCTCTTCCCCCACGTTGTCTGGTTTGTCTGGTTTGTTGACAGCAGACAAAGGGAGATGTGGCTTCTCGGCTGCTGGTGTATTTAAGGTTCAGATGGAGCATAGATCGTGGCAGGCTGATCAATGGCTGTTTGTTGTAAGCAGGTTCAATCAGTTTGCAGCTCTCTGCACTAGGGCTAAATATGTTGCCATATCAGCAGCCATGTGTAAACATATCCAGAACTGCTGTACATTTCCCCAGGGCCAAAGCACGACTGTCAAGGAATGTTTCTATACGCCCACACTTTGCTTTACCAAAGAATCATGAAAGACAGAATCCCAACTGCAGCGCGATTTGTGGAGCGCACCAAAAGAATGATTCAATGGTTTATAAAGCAGAATTTGACCTGGATCCTAGGTGGTATAGAGCAGGGAAGGGGGAACATGAGGAACAACCCTAACCCTAACCAGCTGGAGAGACAAGACAGGTCTAATTCCCACCCGGAATTTTAAAACCTAACCTTTCCCTCATCAAAGTAACTTCAGTTTCTAGATAGGCAGGGTCATCGCTCCTCTTTTTGAAGACTAAAGTTGGGATTTTGGAATCTTGGGATCCTTAGTTGGGAATTTTAATTTGTAATGGAATTTTCTCAGAGTACCTGTCATTATCTTTTACAATGCCTGTTACTGCATTTCACCTGGAGCAGGAGAGATGCTCTCCTAAGTTCAAACTGATCAGCGTCAGATCAATTCATGAGAAATAGGAATATGTCTGAATAAAACCCAATACGTATTAACTCCGGATAACATGGAGGCCAGAGAGGATGGATTTAAATTAGTCTCAATATCAATGAGAGCTGAACCAAATCATAAACCCAAGTTCAAGTTAAGTTGAACTTTCATTCATTGGTCGAACTGTGTTCCGGAATTAATAACAGTACTATTCACAGCGGACACCGAAAATATCAAATGTAATTTATTCACAGTGAGCACGGCTAATATTCAGATAATCAATGTATTTTGCCCTTCATAGAATTATGAAAAATACTCAGAACCATTCGGAAGAGATGTTATATTTTCTCCTCCCGTTAGTTATTATGCCACACACCATTCTGTGGTCAAAATAACAGGCAGGCAGACAACAAAAACAACTTGCACTTGTGTCCCGGAATGTTTGACAAGCTTTTCCCAGACTTGTGTCCGTGCTGCTCTTGGCACAACTGTTATTGTTCTGCCTATTTTCCCCTCTCATCTTCTGCAGAGAAGCATTTGGCTTCTCCTGTTTGACAGTGTTGCTGCAGATCAGAGAGTCTGCGAACATATCTCGCATCCTGGTGTGTCATATGCAGTGGTCTTTGATCCATGGCGTGTAGTATATATGATTAATTTCCGATTAATCATTTAATTGCCAGGATTGTTTTTAAAACTCTCGCTGGGACTAACTGATCCAAACGCTTTGTGAGAGATCACTTGATACTGCAAATTTATTCTTTTCGAAGAAAAGAAAATAGCATTTGTGTATCCGAGTGAATAGAAGAAATCTTGTGTCCAGAAGCACTGGTGTTGAGCCAAACTGCAGTGAATGTAGGGCCTGCCATGTGTTCAGTAGGTGTCAGGATGTTTAGTTTGCTAATTGCTGACCTATTAATAAATGAGAGTTTAATACAGTACAGTTAAAGCAGGAGATGAGGCCAAGGGCGGAGGCAGATATTTACATGACATCTGTTTGTGCTGGTGCACATGTAACAGGATTTCCCTGGTGGAAACGTGTGCTTTTTATAGGAGACAGTCACAGCAATTTTTATTGTTTAGGAAACGGTCTGGGGACAAAAATAGAATCTAAAGCGATTTCTGACTGAGCTCTGTCTTTGTTCCCCCCCACCCCACCTCCATTTTTTTCCAAAAAGAAATCCCAGTAAAGGAAATTATTTCTCACTGGGATATCTTCAGTTGTTTTAATTTTCATCAATGTGGATTTATCACGATCGTCGAAAAAGCCTTTGGCATTCCTCGGCAGAAATAAAAAAAAAGTACAGCAGATTTATGGAGTGAAATGTGCAGGATTTCAGAATGCGTTCCTCGTGATATGACACGGAGCACGGTCTGAAACGCCACAAATTTCACTGAAAATGCATCATAATTTTCTCTTCCCTCCCCCAGTTTTGATGCGTTCTGAAATCTCGCCACTAAAACTGCCATGTCCATCTGTCTGTTTTTTGTGCAATTGTATCTATAATAGAGACAGGTTACCAGGCACCGATACCATACTTGGGTGTCTGGTATTTATTGATCTCAATGATTTATTGGTCAAAGCAAACTAAAATGTCAGCTTCAAGTGTCTGAGTCGACCAACAGTCAAACTAAAAATGTGAACATTTTAAAATTGGCTTCTTTGCCTCAAATGTAATAAGTGTCACAACAATTTCAAATAATTATTGTCAGTAACACGAATGGGATGATGTGGCTTTGTGGTGGGGAATGTATTTTGTTAAATTGTAGACAATTTAGATACCGTTTTTTTTATGACTCAGAACTTTTCTCCTTGTTATCTTTACTCACCCTTCCTTTGAGACGTCTCAAAGACGTGATAAGTGCTACATCACGTGCAAGGAACTTTTTTATTATTTATAATTATCAAGGCCACAAGCTGTGTCTTATCACTGGATTCCTCTGAAATGTTGAGATTTTCAACAACTGCTTCAATGATTATGCTTTGAATTCCCCCCCCCTCACCCACCTGATTTGGTTTCCTTCGTTTTTTTATTTTTCCCTGGAATGGGAATTAAGTGACGGAAAACAGAAGAATGTGCATTTAGTGGGTTAGGTGGGAGGTGGAGTCAGAGAACTGTCCTGGGAATGGAATGGATGGGCCTTCAAGCTTTTTTCCTCTCTTTCTTTTCTATGCAAACTGGTCCCTTCTCTTAAAGCAATGTTTTTCCATTGACAAGCAAAACAATAATTAATCATTAGCCTTTGGCTGTCAAAATACAATTCAGGCTGTTGAATATTGTTACAGTTGTTACAGTACCCGTGCGCTTGGCACCAGTTTAAGAACTTTTGAGGTGATCATTGTTTTATCATTTGAAGAAGTACTGCTCGGAACATTAATATTGCAGCTCGCAGAGGGAAGAGTTGGGGAGTCATTCACATGTTCGTCACGTCAAGCCTAGATGTGACAAATGTATGAATGAGGGTCTCGGTGCCCTGGGGGTGGGGGGAAGGCGGAGGCTGGCAATTTTATAGGTTGTGGCTATTTATATTAAGAGATTATTGGCCACCACATCCCAATATCCCAGCTCATGATCATCAAAAGGAATTCACAAAGTTTTATCTTAAGATTGCCTCTTAACTGTAGTTTTAAAACCAAGGTACTGTTAAGCATATGTATCGATTGAATTTGAGTGGAGTAAGGGAAATGACTTGATAACTATGGGAACTCTCTCCTCGCCGGCCTTCCCGGCACCTCCCTCCACAAGCTGCAGGTCATTCAGAACTCTGCAGCTCGTGTACTGTCCCGCACCAGGCTTCGGGACCACATCACTCCCACCCTCGCTCGCCTCCACTGGCTCCCCATCCCCCAGAGGATCGAATTCAAGATCCTCACCCTCACCTACAAGGCCATTCACGGCCTCGCTCCCTCCTACCTCTCCAACTTACTCTCCCCCTACCTACCTGCCCGTACCCTCCGTTCCTCTGGCTCCGGTCTGCTCCACGTCCCCCGCCCCAACCGCCCTACCATCGGTGGCCGGGCCTTCAGCCTCTCAGCCCCGAGGCTCTGGAACTCCATCCCCAGTGCCTTTGCCGCTTCCTCCCTTTCCTCCTTCAAGGCCGGTCTCAAGGCCTTTCTCTTTGACCGTACCTTCAGCTCCCCTCTCGACTCTCTTCCCCCTCCTCGCTCCCTCCCTTCCCTCCCCTCACCCTGACCATTTACCCCCTGCTCGGGTCCTGACCCAACTGTCCAGCGCCTTGGGTCGTCCTCCCGACGTGAAAGGCGCTCTATAAATGGAATCTTGTTGTTGTTGTTGACAAGATTTGTTGAAGAAATATCTCCCAGTTATCCAGTAAATCTAACAAAATTGTTTGTGTTCTTTTTTAATCAGGTAAGAAGAAAACTCTGTATGACAGCCAAGCTCCAATATGTCCAATCTGTCAGGTACTGCTCCGTCCTAGTGAGCTGCAAGATCACATGGATCAGGAGCTGGAAAAAATCACGCAGATCAATCTAAGGTACATCTTTATATTTTCACATTACAGCAAGGCAGTGTCTCTGTCTCTCACCTTTTTTACACCCACACACACATGCGAAAAAAATAATGACTAGCTATAATGGAAGCAAGCAAGCTGATAAGATTTACGCACAGATTATCTGTGTTGTCATTGGGGATGGGGCGCTCACGCACCTGGTCACCCAAGCTGGGTTAGCCTGAAATGAACATCTATTACGGTTGAGCTCAGGGCTCAGCTTCGAGGTGTCCCCTTTTCAACGGCACTCAGTTTGCACTTGTTATTTGATTTCAAAATTTTATTTTCCCATTGATTTGTTTGGCTTGAATAAAATAAAATTGCCCTTGTTCGTTTCCTATCGGAAGCTCGTGTGAGAAACAAGATACTTTGTGAAACAACTCTAAAAGGGAAAGCTTTAGAATTCAAAAACTAGCCAGTAGGTGGTAGAATGCTTGAGAAATTGGTGCTCTGATGGCTGAAGAGATGAGGTTGGCAACTACACATGAGTGTGATTTGCCTCATATGGACTATCTGCATGAGATCAATGCCTGAAGAACTGATCTTTGATTCTTTAAAATGTTTGTTAAAACTAACTGGGAAGATTTTGAGTCATTAGACAAATTGAAAAATCCTGAGGCAAAGGGAACGGAGTATGCTGAATTAGTGCACAATACTTTCGACTCACCATCTGAATCTAGCTCAGATTTATGGATGGAAGTCTCCACTCTTTATGGACGATAAAGATCCCATTGTATACAGAATTAATTCAGGCAACTTTAACTCAGTTTTATGCAAACATAGATTTGCAGTCCCAAACTGTACATTGTTCAGTCCTAATTGTTACCAAATTGCTCTGTCACTCAGAGAGGTCATAAGGAACATTGATGACAAAATAATGTAAAAAGGATCACATCAGCAAAATAGGGCTGTTCTTTCTTGATTGGGGTTAAGGCACATTTATGCAGAAATTTCACCTGGGTCTAGATGTATTCTATTTTCTTAGCATTTGAGAACACCCAGAATTTGACAATTCCTCATTTCGCAACCAGTTTTCTGCAGTTCTTAAATTCTGGACGCTCTGAAATGCTAAGTCAACACAGTAAATCTGGACCGAGGTGAAAATTCAGGTCCATTATTGCTGGACACGAGAGTGAATCGACTGTGCATCTAAGGCTCCATTATACTTACTCTGGGAGTACTCTGTCAACTGCATATAGTATTACAGTTCCAGCAAAGTATATTATATTGCACTATAATGCAGAATGATTACATTATATTGCAGCTCCTGTAAAGTACATTGTAGTACAGTACATGGGCAATACTTTTTATTGCATTACTGGGCATTATGCAATTAAGTACTGAGCCTGATAATTATGATTTTCCTTAATCAGTTTTTGATTAATCAAAACAAAGTGAATATCCAAAGACATTGTGGTCCTGTTTAGATCAGAGAGACAAGATGTTTTATTCTTTTTTTTTAAAGGTTTATTATTTTAGTCTATTTCTCGAACTGGGGGAATTTAGCCTATTGCTGAGGCATCATTCCAATAATGGTTTATATTGGGATTGAAGCAGTAGCTTCATAAATATTGTAAACACCACTTAGGAATCAAATACAATGTATTAAAATGTTAGCTGGCAAAATGGGTCTTGATGGAGGTGAATCAGAGTGAGATTTAGCCATTTTGATCTACAATTTTCATGCTGAATATCTTGGGCAGGAATAACATAGAAGTGATATGGCGATAGAAGTGAGACTATAAGGCATATAAGACTGTAAGGCATTGTAGCATGCTAGACTGCAATACGTTTTAATACAAATAATGAAAATTGGTACTGTGCACTGATTTTACACTGCCTTCTACTCCTCTATCCGTTGATTGCTGCTGAACAATTACATTTGTTATGTTTCTTTTCTTGATAATGTTCACCAATATATTTAACAACATGTATCTGAGGTCTAAAATATAATAAAATAAATACAAGTGGCAGTTAGGAGGTACAACTTTGCTCTACAAGTTTTTGACATGAACATCCTCAGCCTTTTCCTCTGTGCAATATGACATGCCCCTGGTTACTTTTGAAAACTAATCATTTGCTATTAAAGCTTTCAATTTAAGTTAATGCTTATATAGTGTTCATCAGGTCTACCAATGTCCAACTTCTTGAATCTACTTTTACTTGAACTGCAAGTTCTGAAAAGTAAGATGTCATAGGAATAGATTGTTTATTCGACACCGTTTGAATCATTTCAGTAAGGATTCAAAATTGCATGAACCAAGAAGAGTTTAAGAGGGTAGGGTCAGTGTTCAGGGAGCCATTGTGCTACAGATTAGCATTGCCTGAGTCCATTGAATAGATTGAATGTTATCTGTCATGGCACAAAGAGAACCATTAATTAATAATTAATACTGAGGCCTTTTTCTTCTGCTACTTGTGTAAGGGTGAGTGTATCAGGAGACGAGACTTGTCTTTTATTCGATAGCAGCCATTATTTAGAAAAGGCATCATCCCTTTTCATTTGTCAGAAAAAACACGACCATGATAGCAGACTTTATGATTCCTGATGATCGTTTGGGAGTTTAATTCTTTGCAGTCTGTGAATATATTTATACATATATTAAAAAAATGTATATACCACAGACACATACACAGTATATATAATATATATATATAGGGGTGCAATTTCCAATGTTTAATAACGTGTTAACCACTACATCAAATGCATTATGAGATGCTACTAATTTAGGAATATATCAATGCTGGAGCAGGAAGAGGTTATTCAGCAAATCGAGCCAGGTCCACCAGTTTTTTTAGATCATGACGTATCTTTTAATCCTGTCTTTCTGTCTTTTCTCTGTATCTTTAATATTCTTATTTCTTAAGTATCTATATTCCTTTTAAACGTCTTGATTAATTCTGCCTTTACAACCTTCCGGGGAAGTGAATTTCACAACCCTCTGGGTGAAGGAAGTTATTTTCATTGCCTGACGATAAAAGATTTGGGTCATTCGTGTAAATGATTTGGGCTTTTCTCACTTCCATGTGTGTAGTCCCTCCCTATACCAAGCTCCATTCCCAGGCTGGAAGGTTGGGAAGGTGAAGTGTTGCTATGGCCTCTACTCTACTTCAGAAGCAGCTTCATCTGCGCTGTGCTCAGATACACCATGTGATGATACGGTCAAAGAGAAATCAGCTGACAAAAAGAGAAGGTCCAACGGAGAAGTGATACACTTGGTTTTATTGAGTTAAATAGAAAATAATTGATAAGTGAGAGAGTGTGATCATATGACAGCAATCCCTCAATGATATAGCAGCCATCCTATCACTCCCTGGTGGCTATTATTCTTTTTACAACTTGTACCACAGAGCTTTTGTTTGACTCTTGGTCCATTTGATGCTCCCAACAGCCAGTGTCATGGCACTGCCCTCCATGTACTGCAGTTGATGTTGTCCGCACAAGGATTGATCACTGTGATTTATCTCTGCAAGATTATCAAGGGATCATCAACAGTTGATTATTGGGATATAACAGTCAGTTTATTCATTATAAATGAATAATTTTGCAAAATCTATTGACAACTCTGAGCAGCTAACAAACCTTTATTTGGAGGGTGCTAATGAGAATCTCACTGGCCAGCCACTTGAGAATTAAAAATAATAACTCACTCCTAGAAACGATAATTTAACAGCCAATTCCATAAAGTAGCAAAACTTAAAAATGAATCACCCATGGAGTGGATTCTTGATGGCTTGTTGCTTGCATTCTTTTACTCATTGAAAAGATCTTTGTAACTCACTTGCAAATCCAGTTCTGATCAGTCACTCATCTTAGAAACTGCAAGAGAGCTTTCTGACCAGACTTCTGACACTTAGTGTGTTTCAGTCGCGGTGTTAAACATATCTTTGTTTCTTTTTAAAAAGAAGTCTATTGCACAACCTTTTTTAAAATTCGAATCAGATTCAATAGAACAACAACAGCAACACTTCAATAGTGACATCTTAGTTGACTTGACAGCATTCTTGCCTCTGAATCACAAGATTGCAAGTCTAAACTTCAGGCAGGGATTTTGAGCTCCCAGGCTAAGCTGACACTCCTATACAGTGCTGGGGGAAAGCTGCATTGATGGAGATATCATTATTATTTGCATTCCAAAAAATAATAATAATTTGGTCACTTTAATCCATGACTGTTTGTGGGACTCTGCTGTTTGCAATTGGCTGCCACGTTTTGCCCACAGAATATAGCCAATTAATTTTACAGTATATTCTGCAAAGTGCTTTGAGACGTCTCGAAAACGTCATAATGCGCTATATCCGATGCAAGGATTATTATTATTATGTCATCCCTCGGAGATGGACATCCCTGAGATGTTAATATCAGGCTTTGAGGTGTTGGTGTGCACATAAACATAAACTTTTCAAAGTTAGTATGCACCTTATGCAGATGCTCTCTTTGTTACCTATCGAGCTTTGTAATTCTTCAAAAGCCAGGAGCAAGAATTCAGTGTGTTCAGTGACATTTACTGACAAGATGATTTTGAAAGAACAAGCTGCAACTCTATGCTGTTGTTCTATCACATGATATTCACCCTGCTTGCCCATAACATTGTGACGTCTTATAAACTGCTCCAACAGGGCACATACTGTGTGAAGACAGCAGGAGAGACACCTACACAGGGTGGTACTACAGTAGGTAGGAAGCAAGATACAACATTGATTTAATAGAATGGATTGATGTGGCATCAGATACCAACATTACAGCACTGATAACAGGTCATCACACAAGGAGTCCTTTTGACCAAACACCTGAGCTTCCAGTCTACATGGAAATGTGATTCCCATAAATAAACTCAATGCAACTATAATAATAATAATCCTTGCATTTGATATAGTGCCTTATCATGACTTCGAGACATCTCAATAATTTGTGTTTCACTGTAAAGTGGGTTCACTGTATATTTTGTGTTATATATTTAAATATATTTATATATTTAAAAAAA